GGCGGGGGGGGGGGGGGGGAGAAGAAGAACACAAGAAGACACTATTTTGTATACATTTTACTCAAAAATTATATGTAGCCAGAATTTTCCACCTCGTAAACTGACAATAAATTTGGACATGCAGGAGGGCAAAGAAATAAAGGGGAAGTGTGTAACTAAAACAAGAAATGATCTAAGGAGCAAAGGACTGTGTCTGGTCCCTGTTGAGTTTACCCTACATGTAGCAGACTCCAATGGTGCTGATTTTTGGTCATCTGCTACAATGTACAATCTTTTGTCAAACTAATGAATTGTCCCTTCAACTTTTTCTCTCTGGGTTGGACAAGATCGTGGTTTTATGCTGAAAATTTTGCCCTTTTCGACAATACAAGAAAACAATGAATTTTGGGTCGGTTGTGGAAATCCTTTGTTATCGTAATTCTCAGTTTAGTTACTAGATGTGTAATGGAAAATGAATGGAAATATGGAGTTAAAAGTCACGGTAAAAGTGAAAAAGGAATGAATGGTGAAATATGTGAGCAGTGAAATGTTTGTTTTTCAGTCCATTTTCTGGGTGGGGAGAGAAATTGTGGAGGCATTTAAAGAACATATCAATATTGATGTCTGTTAATTTTTGGTGTTTTTGGAATGTTCAAACTTTGGAAGTCTCTATAGTTTGCATTTTATATATGTCAAATGTCTTTTTATTTTTTAAAATGCATTTACATTCAAGCAAATTCAAGTACAAAAATTGCTTGCTACTATGAAAAAGCTAACATGATGGTAGCTTAAAGATGGTTCGGGAAGTGTTTATAAATGATTTAAATTTTTGAATAAATAAAAATGAATGGTGTATAAGTGAGTAGTACTTGTGGATTTTTTTAGTTTGTGCTGATAAAAAAAAAAAAAAAGAGAATACATAAAAACATGTACTAAACATAGGCTAATATTAAATTGTGTAAAATTCTATTCACAAACATGGATTTTTGCTGAATAGCAAAATTTCTAGCGGTCACTAGGTGTCTTAACCCTCAAATCAAATACAAAAACTTGCTCTATTGGAGCTACGTCATTAATTTTCATAAGTGAAATTGGACGAAATTATTTTAATTGAAATCAAATTAAAATATGATTACTTGGTCGAAATTAAATTAAAGAGAGTCATCCAATTGAAATCAAATTAAAGTGTAGTTACCTAATTGAATAAAATTGATATACAGTTGCGTGATAACACTAAGGCCATGTTTGATTGGCAAATATTTTCCATGATTCCATTTTCCCACTTTCAAGTGTTTGATATGATTTTTTTTGCTGTGGAATTCAAGTTCCATGTTTTCTTGGACTTTGGACTTTTCTAGCTTTTTAGGGTTTTCCTGGTCACTCTAGTATACATGTATTTTTTTTTTTTTGAGTTGACAAAGTTAAACAAATTCTAAGAATTATTGTAAAAAAATATTTCCCTTTAATCGACAATTTTCATATAAAACAAAGTCAAATGAATATCAAAAGATAGATGATTTTCTTGAATTTTTTTTTTTTTTTTTTTTTTTTTTTTTTAGTAATGAAAACAAATTTCATCTCCAACACCAGTAAATTATATCCCTTTAATTGACAATTTTCATGTAAAATAAAGTCAAACGAATATAAAAAAATACTTTTATTTCAACATTTTCCACGTGGAAATTTATACTAATCAAACATAATAATTTACAATTCCTAAGAAAACAATTTCTAAACAATTCAATTCCCCAGAATTCGTTTTTAATTCAATTCAATTCCATATTTGCAATGAAACGGACCCTAAATGAAAGTATAGTTGCCACAAATAAAATTTACTGTTGATAGATTGCACATAACCAAGCACTCTACTCCTTTAGAATCACAAAGACTCAAGTATTGCTTAGAACACCACAAGAAATCTTCCAACTAGAGGTTGGAAAAGACTGAAAAAGACGAAGAGAATAAACCATACCAAGAAAAAAAATTCTGAAGACTCAAAGACAATCAGAGGGCAAAAGTGAATTAGGGCAACAACATCATGCCCTCTTTAAACTCTCATCTCTCATCGTTGATCTCATGTGATGATCAACGGTCCAGAGCAACTGATGACTTTAGCATTAAGTAGCAACTAAAATTGCTCATCCAAAATACGATCTACCAAATATTGGGTCAAGGTTTTCGGCCTCCATATTCAAATTAGGAGTTAAATGTTTCATAGGGCACTGAACTTTATACCATGTCACGGCTTACTCACCAAACTTCATCAATTGTCCTGGTGGCCACTGAACTTTGCTCCGTCCATCTCAATCACACACCCAAAGACAACCATAAATAAACGTGCTTATGTGGATGTTTGAAAACCCACCTGGCCAGTTAAATCCTTCCACATGGTGAGTCAAGTGCCAATGTATCTTCCACGTCAATAAAATCACTCCCAAACTAGGCTTTAACAATTAATGAAAATGTGTTTTAGATACAAAATGAAACGAAAAAGACCTGTAAGCCCTATACATCTCCTTCCTCAAATTGGAGATTCTCCCAAATTTGTCAAGAACCCTTTGTTCACCTCAAGAACCATCTTCTCCTACATCTCTTAAACCCTAAAATCTGGAAATCGATTTCTCCCAAATCTTACGCGAAGTCTCTGACATTGCATTCAATTATTTCGAGTCAACATCAATATGCCAAATCAGATAATACATAATTTCTCATTCTGTAAAACGTGAAAATGAAAATTTAGTGGTTTATAAATTGGTTGACATATCATTAGATGTCATGTTCTGTGCAGAGCCGGTCCTGTATCTAATGGGCCCTGAGGCGAAATCTGAAAAGTAGGCCCCCCAGCGACAAAATTCAAAGGTGTATTATGCGACTCATTGCTAACTTAAAAAACTAACATTAAAACAACAACGAAATATATTATAAAAACGATTTATATTATAAACCATCAAACCAAAAATTTCAAACAATTAGTTAAATACTATTCTTCTTGCTGTTTTAGAGGCAAAAACATCAATCAAATCTGAATAATTTAGCTGCGCAACCATTTCTTTTTCTATTGATAGCATAGCCAACCCATTTAATCTTTCTTGTGACATAGTTGATCGGAGATAGGTTTTGATCAACTTTAATTTCGAGAAACTTCTTTCTGCAGATGCAACTGTAACCGGTATGGTTAACAAAATTTGTTAAGCAATATAAGCATTTGGAAAACAAACATCCAATGTCTTTAAATATTGTAGCACTTCAATTGCTCTTGTTGCTTCACTTGGTATGTAACACCTTTGTGCTTCCCGCTCATGTTAGATCCATTGTCGTACCCTTGCCCTCTAATGTCATCAATATCGAGATCAATTTTTATCAAAGCCTTTTGAAGCTCGGTTGCAAGTCCAAGTCCTGTTGTGTCATCTACCTTCAAAAATTCTAGCCAATGTTCTTGAACTGTAGGTAAGTTTGACGAATTATCTACAAATCGTACAATTAAAGACATTTGCTCCTCCTGACTTGCATCTGGAGTACAATCAAGTATAACTGCGAAATATTTTGCATCTTTAACTTTCTTGACAATTGAACTTCTCACCTGATTAGCCAACAACTGTATCAACTCATTTTGAATTTTTTTGCCAAGATACGTATATTGAATCTCTTTTGCTTTAGCCCGCCGAAGATGCTCTTGCATTACTGGATCAAATCCACTAACCATTTCAACCATTTGTAAAAATAGGCCATTGTTCTCAACATGTAGCCTCTCATCATCTCCTCGAAATG